TACAACAAGGTCTGACACATTAAAAAGTTACCCAATAAATCAGCTGAGTGAGTAATAATTCATCACTGATGTGATGCTTTAGGGGAAGGAGTGAAGAGAGAAGATGCAATCACCTCGAAGCACTTACCTGCTCCCCGACTGGGAGGATCTCGGGCTGGGGGAGGTGGCCTATTACTGAGTAAAGAGGTGGAGGCTGAAGTCGGTGGAGGAGGTGCTAGGCCTCTCACAGGCCCTGGTGTCTTCCTATGCAAAGAATTATGTCTCTGTGGCAGCTCAGGGGCTGACTCATTAGTGGGACTGGAGGGTCCATTGGGGACTCCAGGAGGCTGGCGGTAAGGCGGAGGAGGAGGAGCCAGAGACTGGCCACTTGGTCCTGTTCTGATATTCACAGGGGAAGGAGGTGGTTTGACTGGGGGAGGAGCAGGAGGTCCCTCTCGACCAGGGTGAAGCCTCTGTCCAGGTGTTGGCGGCAAGGGTTTCTCTCTGTTGTAGGCTGGGGCTTTGTTGCTGTGCATAGGCAGAGGCGTGGGGGGTGCGTTGGCACGCCGCCCTGGGGGAGGTGGCGGAGGGGCAGAGGAACTGTGCTTCATGCCCGTACTGCTGGTGGTATTAGGCCGAGAGAGGTCTGGTAAAGAGGGTCTCTGCATCCGGGGCAGTTCTGGGGCTCGGCTGCTGTCTGTATCATCTTGAGGACGCCCACCGGCTGTAGACACTGGAGGCCTTGGGGCAGCGGCTCGAGAACTGGGGACCTGCAGGGCTGGCTTACCAGCTAGGTTCTCTACAAATACATCAGACAAGAGCTGGTCAACAGAGCTAGATAAATATCCATCAGTATGTCAATTCACCCAGCCTTCTTTGTACGACTTGCATAGTTTTAGGTTTTAATCTGGTTTCAGGCTCAGGACCCATTATCAAATATTGCTGATACTAAGTTGAATACATTTTGCCAGAGGGCACCTGTGTTCACAGGGGTGGGAAGGTAGAGAGAAGGGGAAAGTGAGAAAGCACCCCTTATGGGGAATGGTCACACCACAATCCCTTCTCTTCCATTTCTCCCTTTCAGGATTTTACACACACACACACACACACACACACACACACGTTTCTGGTGCCAGGCTCAGGACTCAAACCACATAGCTGGCCATGTGGAATCCAGCCACCTTAACCACCACACCACAAGCTGGCCTGAACATATTTTTTAAATTTAACTTTCAATCGACAAACATTGTGTATATTTATGTGATACAATGTGACATTATGGATATACACACACACACACACACATACATACATAAGCACACACATACTGTGAATAAGTCAAGTAAGCTAATTAACATATCTTTCACATACTTTTTTTTATGGTGAGAACATTTTAGCAATTTTGAAACACACAATACACTATTATTAACTACGACAGATCGCTAAAACATTTTTCTTCTAACTTTGTACCTTTGACCAACAACGCCCCGTTCCCTATTACACTTTGACCCCATTACTCAGCTCTACTCAGCTCTACTGCTCTGGTAACCACCATTCTACTTTCTAGTTCTGTGAATTCAACTGTTTTATCAATAGGTCCCATATATAAGTGAGGATCATATGCAGCAATTATCTTTTTTTCTTTTAAATAGTTATTTAATTTCACTTATCATTATTATTAATTTGACCAGAGAGAGAGACAGAGACAGAGAGAAAGGGAAAGTGAGAAAGCAAGCCACTCAGGACTCAAACCAAGGTTGGCCATGAGGGAATCTACCACCTCTAACCACCATGCCACCTGCTGGCCCCACAGTAATTATCTTTTTGTGCTGACTTATCTCACTTGACATTAATGCCTGTCCTCTAGTTTCATTCCTGTTGTTGCAAATAACAGAATTTCTTTTTTAAGACGGAATATTCTTGGGGCTGGCAGGAGGTGTGGTGGTAAAGTTGCTGGACTCTCACATGACCAACCACAGTTCAAGTCCTGGACCTGGCAGCTTGCTTTCTCACTCTCCCTTCTCCGTCTTTGTCTCTCTCTGCTCAAATTGAATACTACTACTACTAATAATAATAATTATTAATTAATTAATTAATTTAAAAAGACTGAATATTCTTTTTTAAGATTTATTTAATTGTATTTATTCATTCATTTATTTTTTGACCAGAGACAGAAACAGAAAGAGAGAAAGAGAGAGAGAGGAAGTGAGAAAGCAAGTCACCACATTCAGGATTCAAACCGTGGTTGGCCATGTGGAAATGTCCAGCACCTTAACCACTATGCCACCTGCTGGTCCCAAGACTAAATAGTATTCTCTTACATGTATGTGTATGTGTGTATATACATACGTGTGTATATACATAAATATATCACATTTTATTTATTCAAGTTGAATACATTTTTATTTAATCTCTCAGCTTTTGCTTTATCCCACTCTCTAACCCCTCCCCTGCTCCCACTTCTCCTTCCTCCCATCTCTACCACACTACTCAACCTGAGATAGCACACTTGGGACAAATCAGAAATTAATGCACTTGAAAATAACCCAAGAAAGTATTTATCAGATACCTGAGACATCCTTGGCTCCCACAGGTCGAAGCTTCGGCACTCCTCCTTGGAATAGACCTCCCTTGGGCTGCAGGGCAGCTGCTCCAGGGCTATAACCAGCACTGCTTCCTTTGGGCTCTGGAAAATAGAACATCAGTGTTTCATTTCACATGCTCTGGGTTAATGACCAAGCCAATCTAAAGAAGAAACTACTCCTCTATCTGGGCTGTAATTTGCAAACAAACCAATCTTATTTTTGCCTTTCCCTTAAAAAACTCAAGGCCTATCTGCACCTAGGTCTTACACCATGTGAGGTGCACAATATTTACTGTGATGAAAAAGAAGAGAACAAAAAGCCAACTTTCCCTTACTTATTAAGGGCAAAGAAGTAACTACAGTAAAGAAATGTTTGGGGCCAGTAGGTAGTGTAGTGGTTAAGGCACTGGACACCACATGGCTGTGATTTGAGTCCTGGATTCAGTAGCTTAAAACTCACGTTAGGTATGTGTGCATGCATGCCAAAACATCCTGAGAGAAGAATGGGGGAGAAGGGACTGCAGCATGGCCATCCCACCTGGGGGGGGGGATTTCTCACTGTGTCTCTGTCTCTACCTCTTCAGCAAGCACATGCACCCTACAGCAAAAATCTTTCAAAAAAAAAAAAGAAAAGAAAAGAAAAAGAAATGTTCAACAGAGTTCTCTGGGGTCTCTTTGTAAGGAGGATAATGGCTCAGGTATGAACAAACTCTTCACAGGCCTAGATGAATGCATACTTACAGCAATAATAAAACCCTCCTAGGCTTCAGCCAAGAGGTTTCTAGGAATATGCTGCTCTTCTCAAACAGTGCCAAGGGGTGTGCTTTTGGGAGCATTAGTTCCAACATGAGATGGGAGTCTTAACCTTGAAAATATTTACCAAGGATAAAGGAGAAATTTCTAAGATATTCAAATGGACAGATGGAGAAAGAGCCAAAGGACATCCCATGACAAAGTTCTCCCACTCAAGACCCAACAATAAGTCCAGCCACATCTACAGGTGGATCCTGAGATCTTGGTGGTTCACCAGGAACTGAAGCTCAGACTTACTCTCAAGGATGGGAGCACTCCGATCATTAATGTTGGTCACCTTCTTCAGCTTGGTCCCTTTGCAGATATCCTGTAAGAGGGCACCTCGACCCCGCTGCTCATCTCTACTCAGCTTGGGCTGCTCTGTGTTTGCCTGGAGAAAAAGGGAAATGTTAGTTCACTCTAAAAACTTCCCTTCATCACAAGCTCGATATAAATGACTTAAGCCAAATGCATTCCATGAGATGCCCGTCTAACCTAATCACATATATTGTTATGTGCCAAATAGCAATGTCAATGTGCATTATCATTCTTCTCAGTCTTGTTCCTCCTGTTCTACCTTCTGTGCAGGGTATAGGTCTCTTTCCTTCTCAGAGGCTTATGATGGTGGGCCTGTACTAATATTTACTGAGTATATATTGCTAGGTTTTGTGTTAAGACACTGTCATCAAGGAAAACATTTATTGAGACCCTACTATGCATCAGGCATTGTGCTAAGCACATTACTTGCATTATCTCATTTAAATCTTGAAATATTCCTATGAGAAAGGAGAATTATCATTATCCCCTTTTGGAAAACATGGACCAGGGGACCAGCAGTTGGCATAATGGCTATGTCGCTGGACTCCCATGTAATGGACCATGGTTCGAGTTCTGGACCCAGTGGCTTAAACTCATGCCAGGCGCATGTGCATGCATGCCCAAGATCCTAAGAGGAGAATGGAGAAGAAGGAATTGTGGAGTGGCCATTCCCACTGGGAAGGTGAATCCTCACTTTCTGTCTCTCTGTCTCTCTCTTTCTGGCGAGCATATGTGCCCTATAGCAAAAACCTCTCAAAAAATAAATAAATAAAGTATGGAACAGAATCCAAACCCAAACACTAAAACTTTATTTTTTTTAAAGTTTATTTCTTCTGAAAGAGAAACAAATAGACAGCACCTTTAATAGTGCCTCAACACAGGGATCCAACCTCCAGCTTCAGCCAACCCTGGATCATGGATACACACATGCCCAGTATACTCTGGGAGGTCTCCAGGCATGAACGCAGAACAGTCCCATGTGAATTAGCCTTGCAGAGCTTCATGCTCCACCACTACACCACTGTCCAGTCCCAGTTTAAAAGAAAGAAAGAAAGGGAAAAAAAAGCATAGAGCTTTTTAAACTAACTACCCAGTGGAATTTTTTTGTTTTTAAGTTTTTACTATTGACATGTACACTCACCAGAGAGAGCCAGACAGACGGGAAGAAAGAGAGAGGAAAAATGGGAAGTCACCCCCCCCGGGGGGGGTGGGGAATGGCTATGTCCCATCCCCTCTTCTCTATTTTCCTCTTGGGATTTTGGACATGCATGCACCTGTGCCTACTGTAGTGGGATATTTTGGAAGCCATTCAAAATTATTTTAACAGCTGGCCCCATGGCCTAGGGGTTAAAGGATTCCACATGGCTGGTGGTTCAAATCCTGACGACAGTGACTTCAAAAATATATCCAAAAGAATGGAAAAATGCAGAAGTGATTCTAACATGACTATGCCCCACAGGAGGGGTGCTTCCTCCCTTTCCCTCTGGTGCTCCCCCCCTCTCCCTCATGGGCCTTCTATCAAAAAACAAAACAAAATCCACAGAAGTACTATATGAAAAAAATAAGGGAAGGACTTTCTAAGCATAATAACAAAAATAAAAGAAAAATTAACAGGTACTTAATTATTAGAAATTAATAAACATTGGGCCATCAGGTGGCATGGTGGTTAAGGCAGTCGGACTTCCACATGGCTGACCATGGTTCGAGTAGTGGACCTGACAGTTTGCTTTCTCACTTTCCTTCTCTCTCTCTCTGGTCAACTTCAAAAAAATAAATAAAATAAAATAATGATAATGAATAAAATTTTTAAAAAAAGAAATGATTAAACATGGCCAAACTGAACTTGTATTTACATCCATAAACCTATTTCTCTTCATAAATAGGACATCATTCAACCAAGCCCCCAAACCACCTTCCTCTTCTTCACTCTCCCATCTGTCACTAAACTCTTTGAGTAACTCTTATCTCTAAACCCTCAATTTTCCTTTTTTTTTTAAGAATCATTTTATTTTGGGTTGCAGGTGGCATGGTTTGGGTGCTGGACTCCCACATGGTCAAACATGATCCAAGTCCTGGACCTGGTGGCTTTCTTTCCCACTCCTCCACCCCAGTCAAATAAAAAAAAAATAATAATGATAATAATTTTTTTTCAAGAATTATTTTTGGACCAGCAGATGGCATAATTGTTACATTGCTAGACTCCCACGTAGTCAAATGCAGTTCAAGTCCCAGACCCAGTGGCTTAAAATCCACACTGAGCACATGTGCATGCATGCCCAAGATCCTGAGAGGAGAAGGGAGGAGAAGGGACTGTGGCATGGCCATCCCCGGGGAGTGATTTCTCACTTTCTGTCTCTCTGTCTCTCCAATGAGTGCACACCTAGCAAAAATCTCTCTCTAAAGAAAAAAAAATATTATTTTATTTAATTTATTTATTTTCAATTTGACCTGAGAGTGACAGACAGAGAGGGCGAAAGGAGAATGAGAAAGCAAGACGCCAGGTCCAGGATTTGAACTGTGGTCGGCCATGTGGGAAGCCAGCACCTCAACCACCATGCCACCTGATGGCCCCAGACCCTCAATTTTCAATGGCAACAGTCTTTCGTCTCCAGTCTTGACCCCAAGCCCCTAATACACTGTCCATACTATTAAATATGACCCTTCTAATACAAACCAAAACAGGTTATTATTCCTGCTACTGGACATACCTCTCCATCATCTCAGAAGAAAAATCAAAACCCCCAGCCTACATCTCCATTTTCATCTCCCACTATACCCCCTCAAGCAAAACCTCTGTACACTTTCTCACAACTCAGCATCCTTTTACATTCTGCTTCCTTGACTTCAAATGTTCTCTTCTCTTCCTGGCTACTCTACTCATTGTTTAAGACTCATTTAAGTATCACTTCCCCCAGAAGCCTTTTTTGACTCCTCTTCCAAAGGAGTACTATAACCAGAGCAGCTATACTTTCATGTATTTCGCTTATTGAGTTTCCACACAAAACTTCATCTAAAAAGGAGTTTATACATTGCCTTAGATGTCTCATCTGTTAAACAACTAATGCACACATGGGCACATAGACCCCCACACCCTGTTCCAGGCTGTTCTTCCTTAAAGTCACTTTTACTTCTAAATTTAACAAAAATCAGAAGGCACACAGGTTCCTTCTTTCTCATATGATACCAGGTGTCACAACCCAGGTATGGTTAAAGTGGCTGCCTCTTTGGTTCAGAAACCACATTGCTTTTATTTTCTCTCATTATTATACTTTCAGTCTTCTTACCAATGCATTCCATAGCTTTCTTTCTTCCTTGACAAAGTTTTAGACTTGATAAACTTGGTCTAAAATGAACTGATAAGGAGTAGAAAAGGAGGAGATGGAATGGTAGCAAGATACAACCAAAAGGAATCCCCATCCCTTTTCTCAAGGACATTAGAAAAATGACACACTGACCATCAGAGAGCAAATATTTCAGGGGAAAACACTAGCTCCTACTCCAATGCCCCCATCCAAATCACCATTTATAACAAACCAGGACAAGGAAATAAGACATGCCATTATGGTCCTAAGAAGACCTCTCAGGAATCAGAACTGGTTGACGAGGATAGACTTGTTTATTTTCCATCTTCCTATTCCACATGTCCCTGAGTATACTATGTCTTATACAAGAAAGCCCTATGTATCCATTAATACTAAGACTAAAGACTGCGGATGTTAAAAACAATTAAAGAACAACTCGGAATAAGAATGCTATGGGTAGAAACATCGAGAATTTTTAACCAAAGGAGGTTAAAAACAGCATGTGAGGCCATCGCTTTTATTTGCTCAAAGATTCTAAGCCTGGTGGATGGGGTTGGCAGGTGGCGTGGTGGTTAAGGGCACTGGACTCCCACATGGACAACTGCAGTTCGAGTCCCAGACCTGGCAGCTTGATTTCTCTCTCTCTCTCTCTGTCATGTCACTCTGTCCCTCTCTGGTCAAATTTAAATAAATAAACAGACAAATAAAAGTTAAATAAAATAATTACTTAAAAAAAGATAGCCTAGTGGAAGGACTACCTACCTGATTGAAAGTGGGAGGTGGAGGAGGACCGGGTGGGGGTGGAGGGGGAGGAGGAATTGGCATCCTTGCCCTGTTCCCAGTTGGCACTGCTCTCTCTCCGTCTTTATTTGCAGCTTTAGGTCACTCATATACCTGTAAACAAAACAGAAATTTATAAGGACAATAACTATTAGCAAACCATACGATGGAGAACTAGACTGAGCATGCTATCAGTGAGACTAAGTAGCTCATCTCCTAGTTTCTCTGTGATAAAGTCCAGGGCTTTGTTAGCTTTTTCTAAAGAGAGCCACAAAATAGGCTTTGTAGGCAATGTATGCTCTTTGTTCCACAGTACTCAGTTTCGACAACCTTTTTTTTAATTAATAAACTTTTAGGGGGAAATTTTTGTTATAGGGCGTGCATACTTGCTAAAGAGACAGAGAAAGACAGACAGAAAGTGAGAAACTACCCCCCCCCAGGGGGATGGCTGCACCACAATCCCTTCTCCTCCATTCTCTCAGGATCTTGGGCATACATGCACATGCATCCAGTATGAGTTTGAAGCCACTGGATCTGGGACTCGAACCACAGTCAGCCAAAGTGGGAGTCCAGCAGCATTACTACTACACCATCTGCTGGCTCCAAATAATAAACTAAATTTTTTAGAGCAGTTTTAGGTTGAGAGCAAAACTGAGCACAAAGTATAGAGAATTCCCACACCCTCTATCCTCACAAATGCACAGCATCCTGCACTGCAGTGGTACATTTATGACAACCCTACAGTCACCTCATTACCGCCCAAAGTCCACACTTTATATTAGGGTTCACTCCTGATAATGTACAGTCTATGGACTTGGACAAACATAATGGCAATATAAGCATTGTACTATCATACAGAATAATTTTACTACTCTAAATGTCCTCTGTGTTCTGCCTATTCACCCCTTTCTCCCTGCCCCGACCCTAGCCAACCACTGATCATTTCACTGTCTTTATAGTTTTTGCAATCATACGCCACATAGCATGTTCAGATTGGCGTCTTTCACCTACTAGTATGCATTTAAGTTTCTTCCACGTCTTTTTATGGCTTGATAGCTCATTTAACAATAAATAATATTCCATTGTCTGGATATATTATTCTATAGATTGTTTATCCCTTCACCTACTGAAGAACATCATGGTTGCTTCTAAATTTTGGAATAACGAAATTTTAGAATTATGAATAAAGCTGCTATAAACACCTTAGGGAAGGTTTTTGCATGGACTGAAATTTTTTTTTAAGAGTTATTTAATTTTATTTGTTACTAAGACAAGAGAAAGGGAAAGTGAGAAAGCAAGTTGCCAGGTCCCTGACTCGAACCGTGATCGGCCATGTGGGTGTCCAGTGCCTTAACTACCATGCTACCTACCAACTCCATTTGTATAAACACGAAGGTGACTGCTAGACCACGCGGTAAGAGTTAGTGTAGTTCTGTAAGAAACTGCCAAACTTCTAAAGTGGCTACCCCATCCTGAATTGCCACTAGCAATGAATGAGAGTTTCTGTTGCACCACATCCTTGCCAGCATCTAATGGTATCGATATTTTGGATTCTGGTCATTCTAACAGGTTATGTGTAGTGCTATCTTATTTTAATTTGTGATTTTCTAATGGCCTGTGATGTTGAACACTTTTCCATATACTTGAATAATCCATATATCATCATCTCCTTTTGTTTTTTAGTTTGCTAGAGGGTACGTGCAAGAAGACAGAGAGGAAGAGAGGAAAGCAAATAGGGATGGTCACACTGCAATCCCTTCTCTAGTTTTCCTTTTGAGATTCTGGGCATGTATACACATGTGCCCGGTGTTTTCAAGCCACCAGGTCTGGGACTTGTCAGTTACCTAGCTGTCTTAACCACACCACTGGCAGGTCCTATATATCTTCTCTAATGAGGTATCTGTTTAGGTCTTTTACCTACTTTTTGAATCAAGCTTTTTTTTTTTTTAATTGAATCTCAAGAGCTCTCTGTATATTTTAGATGATGCTCCTTTATCAGATATGTCTTCTGCAAAATATTTTCTCCCAGTATGTGGTCTATCTTTTCATTCTCTTAATTTTTATAAATGTGAAAAAATGTGAAAAAAATGTGAAATTTTTTAAAAAGGTGAGAAAAAAATTGTTTGTGGGCCATAAAAAAATAGGCTAAAGACAAGCTCTGACTAAAATATCCATAGTGGGACCAGCAGTTAGCATAATGGCTATGTCACTGGACTCCCATGTAGTCGACCGTGGTTTGAGTCTCAGACCCGGTGGCTTAAAACTCATGCCAGGGCACGTGTGCGTGCATGCCCAAGATCCCGAGAGGAGAATGGAAAAGAAGGGACTGTGGTGTGGCCATCCCCCCTGGGGGGTGATTTCTCACTTTCTGTCTCTCTGTCTGTCTGGCAAGGGCATGCGCCCTATAGCAAAAACCTCTCAAAAAAAAAAAAAAATCCATAGTTTACTGACATCTGGTATGGTCATATCCCCAGAATCTGATTGGAGTACAAGGCAGCCACTTATCAGGTCATAAAATACATAACATTCTGGTAGGTGGCAAAGTGGTTAAAGTGCTGGACTCCCACATGGCTGACTGTGGTTCAAGTCCTGGACTTCACAGCTTGCTTTCACACTTTCCTTTTCTCGCTTTCTCTGTCTCTTTCTGGTCAAATTAAATAATAATAATAAATAAAATAATTATTTTTTAAAAGATTAAAAAAATACCATTCAAAACCTATTACTACATAGTTATCCCTATATTACAGTCTGTAAGTAATCCTCATTGCACAGAGTACAGTAAGACAAAAGTAGGGAGCTCATTTATCCTAATGTATTACAGTCGAGTTTACTGGAAAATTCCACCAAATATAGGAAGAAGTAAAAACAGCAGGTCTTAGGGACCAGCAGGTGGCATGGTGGTTAAGGTGCTGGACACTCCCATATGGCCGCCCACAATTTGAGTCCCTGAATCAATACATTGCTCAAATTGTACTCTCAAAAGTGAACTCCAAACCACATTTTCAATTGTATGCTGAATGATTTTCTCTAATTATTAATTGAACACAAATTTTTCATAAAACTTCAGTGAAAACACTGCCCAGCGACCAGCAGTTAGCATAATGGCTATGTCACTGAACTCTCATGTAGCCGACTGCAGTTCGAGTCCCGGATCCAGTGGCTTAAACTCACGTCGGGCGCATGTGCATGCGTGCCCAAGATCCTGAGAGGAGAATGGAGGAGAAGGGATTACAGTGTGGTCATTCCCCCCTGGGGTGTGATTTCTCACTTTCTATCTCTCTGTCTCTCTCTGTCTTTCTGACGAGTGCATGTGCTCTATAGCAAAAACCTCTCCAAAATAAATAAATAAATAAAATAATAATAATAATAATAAAAAAAGCAGGTCTCACAATCTCTTTCAGAAAATGGAAGTGAAGGGAACGCTTCAAGGGAACGCTTCTCAGCTCACTTTATGAGTTCAGCATCACTCTGATACTGAAATCAGAAAAAAGCAATACAAAACAGAAATACAGACCAATATCCCTTGTGAATTTAGATGTAAAAATCATCAATAAAATACTAACAAATTAAAAAAAAAAAAAACCTGATTGTAAAAGCCCTCAAAAATCCCAACTCTAGGGGCCAGCAGGTGGTATGGTAGATAAAGGCGATGGATTCCTACATGGCTGACCATAGTTCGAGTCCCGGACCAGGCCACTTGCTTTCTCGCCTTCCCTTTCTATTTTTGGCCAAAATTAAAAATAATAAGAACAACAAAGAATGGAATTAAATAAATAAATCTTTTTTTTAAAAAAAAGAAAAGAAAATTTCAACTCTTGCCAGTGCTATCACCTGCCTACCCAACTGAGCTATTTACTTAAACCACAAAGAACTGGATAGAACTTTGGCTAGGTGGTTCCCATGAGGAATAGTATTTGAACTCACTTCAAGAAACAAGCAGCTATCTCCCCTCCAAGGGAAGTAACTTCTCATTTCTGGTTTCAAAGCTATGTGCTGTCTTTCTTGGTCAAGGATCTAACGCACTAGCTTTAAAAATTGATCAAAACAATAAATCCTCATAATAGAACATCTAACACTAGGAGGGTAAATTTAAAATAAAAGAAATGGAAAAAAACTTTCTCCTCTTTGAATTCCCTGGATTTACTATGACCAATCTACTTCAAAGTCTCTACAGTGTTATCAAAGAAAGCTAGCAGAGAAGACTAGGAAAAAGAAAAATAACAGTTTATTCAGAAACAGTTTCAACTAATTCTAGCCACCTTAGTTTCTGTCTTTTCTGGGTTTCTAGTTCTGGCAGCCATTTGTTAGTGCCATGGCTGAAATGGTCCCCTAGAAAAGCCTGGAAACGATTCAGATCTGTCCCTAAGCCGCTCATAACCACAGGTGATCCAACCTGTAAGCTGCAAGGTAAGTAATGATCTAAAGGAACAACCTATGTGCAATGGTGAGCTCCACTTATTTAAGCAGAGCAGTACTCCTCTATTAAGGCAAACCTTTTAAAGCAGCCTACTGGAAAAGAGCACTAATACATTACACAGTTAAAGATGCTTTCTTAAAATAGACTCAACTCAAACTTCAATTTCAAAACAGACTCATCAAAGAAATAACACTTTGATCCAGTGACTGACTTTAGTGTTGACTTCTGGCAGTGCTCTCTTCTCGTTCCATAAGGACTATATGCACGACACACTCTTATCAGTGACATTTATTACACAATGATGCTCTATAGTATTATCATTCCCAGGTGAGGATATAAAAGCCCCAAAGTGGGAATGCATGCGTATATACACTCCCACATGGCCAACCACAGTTTGAGTCTCAAACCTGGTGGCTTGTTTTCTCAATCACGCCCCAGAGGGAATTGTCACACTGCAATCCCTTCTCCTCCATTCTCCTCTTGGGATCTTGGGCACACACGTACACGTGCCCGGCGTGAGTTTAAGCCACCGGGTCCAGGACTGGAACCGCGGTCGACTACATGGGAGTCCTGTGACATAGCCATTACGCCAACTGCTTTTTTTTAAAAGAATTATCTAACTTTATTTATTCATTGATTCATTTAATTTGACCAGAGAGAGAGAAAGAATGAGAGAGCAAGAGAGAGAGAGAGAGAA